CTTCACACCGAACGAAAACACCACCTCCTCCCTCCCCCGCCACCCTTGCAGATCGCACTGGTTCACTCACACTTACTCAACATGGTGTTGAGATAGGGGTTTCCCCATGTTTTCCACAGTTCACATACACATTACACTGCACCTTGACTCACTTTCCTACACACAATCATTCCGGACAGGTTGTGCTCGCAGCAGACTGGGCTAGTTGACTGCCTGCTTGGGATATTCCTTTAGTTTCTCCTCCACGCACTTCGCAATCCGCCACAGAGCTATTCCCTCTCTCCCCGCCGAACACCTCTCTCGATCGTTTGTTTCCGTCCTGCATACGTTCTCTCTGTGTGAACATCGTCCTTCGTACTCTTCAGAATGACGTCAGAGATCCAGCAGCAGCAACTTGACACCCCGGTGGCCCCTGAGGCAGCAACAGGCGTGACAATCCGTCGCACACGCCATCTTGTGGAAAGATCTGGAACCCGTTGCCAGGAGTTACAGCATCCGATTTTGCTCCAGGTTCTTGCCAATTTTCTGTCAGAATTGAGTTTTTATTTTATTTTCCGAACGCTTGTTCTGGCCTGTACCATTCATTCTGTCTGATAAGCGGCTAAAAAAAACTTTAGTTTGCCATGATATATCAGGCACGCGCTGTCTACTCTAAAAATGTAGGATTTGAGCTTTTCGCGGCTGTGATTCTGATGATGGCTGTCTTCTGGGTTGTTGTGCTGTGTACTCTGGTAGAAATTTACCGATGTTTCAGAGGACCTTGCTGCCTCCATCATCAGGGCGATGAATATTTTGTTATAATACCTGTTAAATTATCTCCTAATTTAATTAAAGTCCGAGGCTACAAATCTGTGTTTGTGTGTACTTATTTTTATCCAGAATTATGTAAATACACTGCAGTAATTTAAGGAATTCAGGGTTAAGATTAACTACCTAATGATCGGCTAATCGAAGTTAGGATCAGGATTGGTCAATTTCAAAGTGGCCTAGGACATTGCAAGAAAAATCATGTAAGAATCTCTCGAATTATTTATAGATACTAATTATTCACACGAACTGAATACAGGTTGTAACCTCGCTGTCCGCGAGTCGATAAACTAGGGTAACTGCAGCCCTAGGTCCAGAAAAGGTTGATAACACCTGCTCTGGTCATTGGGTTTTTATTCTTCAGCTATACCCACCGGTGTTTTACTTCTTCAAATTCTTGTTCTCATCTCTCGATACGAGTAGCACTGTGTTCCTGAATGCATGGAGACAATGCAGATGTTACGAAGTATTTGCCAATTGGTTTCAGTTCTAGTCCAGAAGCTTGAGCAAAACTAATGTTGACTCATTTTACTACTACTACTACTATGGCGTAACAGCCCAAAATCGAGCCCTAGCCTCCTCGTTGACTCATTTTATTCAGTTCAATATTTGATTTCATAATCTCAACGACAAAAATTGAATTGAATGAAATTCAATATTTGCTCTGAAATTCGGTGTCTCCATAATGAGTAACGCCAAATTCAATAGAAAGAAAATTGTGCGATGTAAAACACAAAATACTATCTTTAGGAACATCTGCTGTTTTGTCGTTCATACAAATGTCCAGGGATTGATTCCAGTTACTTATAAATTTGAAGTTTTTGATTTTGTTCACACGTATTGGATGCATCAACCGACTACCTTGTTGTGCAACGGTGGTAATAGAATAGTGGTCTATTAAACTGAAATAATAAATAAGCAGAATATACACTGCCATAACGAAGAGTCAATCTTAGTAGTACACTTCGCGTTAATAAAATCCAGAGTGAGGAAGGATGCATCCACTAGAACATGCTGTAGAATATTACCACTCGTAAACAAACTGAGGTCAGATATTAAGGCATGAAAAGATAAATAAAAGCAATAGAAACCTTAAGTCTGGATAGCTCAGTTAGTATAGTGACTGGCTTTGGGGCTGGACGACCGGGGTTCAGTTCCTGGCAGGACAGGATTCTTCTTTTCGCTGACACGTCCACTGAAGACCACACAGCCTCCTGTCCGACAGATAAAGCCGGAGGAACTTAAAGCTGACTACGCAACCCTTTCTCTGTCACTACGGAATCGGATTTGAGTTCATTAGTCTGTTGTGGTCTTCTGGTTCCTGAGAAACTTTGGACCGGTCTTTCGGAGCGGGAGAACCAGGGCGCTGTTGGTAGTATATTGTTGAAGCATTACGAAATCATTCTCTTTTGAAGATGAGTCTAAAGGGTTCTGACGGTGGTGTGTTGCAACAAACTCGACTGTTATTTTGGACATGATCCATCGTCTTGATTAAGTGTTAAAAGACACAACGTTCCGGAGACTGAATCTGTTTCCATCATCAGGTAAAGGTAGGATAGAGGATACCCGGTCTGGTGAGACCCTTGGACAAAGCTAGTCTCCATCACTGGACCAGATACAGCTCAGTCTACATAGTAGGTGTGATAATCTTTTCGGTCGCAACGTTCGGCCGAAAATGCCCCCTACCCAGCAGCGCAGTGATTGGACTGAAGTAGCTTCTGAGCAGGACACCTTCCGTTCAAAGTATCTACAGTTCACTGTCACAATTTTAGACATTTATAATTAAAGTGAAAGCGAAAACTAATTTTTTCAGTATATTCTTTGAAGAACAGTATAGACCAGCGTTTCTCAACCTTTTTGCCCTTGCGGAACCCTTGAAATAATATTCATGTCTAAGGGAACCCCTACATAAAAATTATTATATATCATTATTGATATCTTTCTTTCTTTTTTATAAACTTAAAGTTCATAAGGAAAACTTAATATATTTTTTCTGATAGCTGGTTTACGCAAAAAATTACTTACGTTTTTCTCACGTTTATTGACAATTAAAAAAACTGAAATCAAACTGCCTGTTCAAGAGACCTCATACGGAGGTTTTTAATCGTTTATTGATAATGTTAAAAAGGCATAAGATAAATCAAAGTAAAATGTCATATAAACAAATATATGTGTCAAGGAAATGTTATTTTTGAAGCCAATTTAAATAATAAAATTTACTTGAGTCACTCGATGATACGTGAATCCACCACGTACAGCTCCTGTACACTGACCACTAAAGACGGTTTCACGCTGGCGCCGTATAGACGTCGCTAAATATATTTCTTATGATTATTATATTTCTAAATGACATAACAGGTTGAAGACTTTATTATAATACCCAAGAATTTTCCGAGAATATGTCGTACGTGTATAGTAAAATTACGAATATGAAATTAAACATAAAAGTGACTCAAAAATACATTTACATATGAGTAGCCTATTCATCACTATTTCTCGCGGAACCCCGGTTGAGAAACGTTGGTATAGACACTTGCCCGCACATCCTAGGTTTCGTAACATTGAAATCTCTTTATGAAACATTATAGAACGTCTCTGGTAGTTTCTTTAGATAAATATTGGATGGCCCTACACGTGGCTGATCTCAGAGTGAAGCAGTTTAGGACTGATCCGTCTGTAGTTAGTGCTTCAGGCTGGACGACCGTGGTTGGGATTCTCTCTTCGCCACCGTCCACACCGGCTCTGGTGCCCACTCACCCTCCTATCCAAAGGATGCCGGAGGCCGTTTCCCGTACATCAAGTGATCAGCCAATTTTAAGAGCGCGTGGAGCTGTATCTCCAATCTTGCATGCTTCTTCATGGCGTTATTCATCTTTGAGGGCCACTGCAATTCAAGCGCCCCCTCCCCATTATAGCCCGCTCAATTTAATAAGAATTTATGACTTCATCATGTCTCCCCTCTATGCTAAACGTTAAACCAATTGGCAGAATGTCATGAAGCAATATTGGTGTGAAAATCATTTAAGAACACCCTACATTTGTTACATTTTAATGTCTTTGTCGTCAGTATAAATATGATCGACTTGTGAACGACACCATAAGCCATTTGATGTAGCGTCCTGAATTTCATGGTGACAGGTTTTCAAAAAATATGTGTGTACAGTTTAAAACAATCAAACAGCAAACTCACAAGACCTGTATGCAAAAGTTCCATCATAAAATAATATCCGATTTAATTGGCACTGAGGTAAATCACGAAAGAAACAACAGCAAGTACATACGGCATTTTACGTCTTATGTATTGATACACTAACATGGTGACACTGAAAGTTTAAGGTTATGTTTTTGTATGGATCACCAACTTATAGTATTGCCTAGTGTTTCTGTAAAGCTGGAAACATTGCAAGTATTGTATCATGAACTCATCCTGGATTTTATTTTAATATTATGATCAATCTTTTGAAGAAAAGTTTAAATATTTGGGAATGATGGTAAATTAAAATTGCATTCATGAAGAAATTAAGGGCAGACTAAATTTGGGGAATGTTTGCTGGCATGCAGTTCAGAATCATTGGCTTTCCCAACTGCTTTCTAAAAACATAATGATTAATACACAGAACTATATGTTAACCTCTTGTTTTGTGTGGCTGTAAAAATTGGCCTCTCACATTAAGAGGTCAGAAAATGCTACATTGTCACCCCACTGTTATAAAAATATGCTTATATGGAATAAAAAAAGTTAGAACTTATTGAGAAATATCGCATAACTATGTTATGGGATGTAAAATTATCCAGTTATAGAAAAAATAAATAAAAATAATTTGAAAGATATGTGAACAAATTTTTGTCATAATTCATACATGAGTGTCAAAACATGGAAAAAATGATGAAGTCTACAATGGGAACTGACAAAATAGTTTTCATGATGTGGTTCACATTTAGAGCTCTCATTTTTGCAGGATGAAAACAAAACAATCTTAGGAAGTGTGACAGGGGTTAAGTGAAAATAAACATTAACATCTTCATAAACTGTACTGTTTCTAAATTATGTGCCATAAATGACAGGGGAGCTTCAGGATGTCAGTATGACTCAAAATGGTCCAATGAACATAGGTCCAGAAATACATCTGTAAAAAGTTATGAGATGAAAGTTCCTTCTTCTGTGAAATGCAAAAAGCTTGACTGAGGGAGGATTTACTTGTGACACACATTACAACAATTGCTCCAAATGTCCTCCATTGGCATGAACACGTCACACAACAAGGCTTGTTGTGACACATTTTAACACCCCAGATGTGGTATGAATGTCATTTTCTGCATTTTGTATTATTGCCAAAGTGGATCTCAAGTGTCAATAATGTTGGTATAAACTCCTGCACTTGTACACCTCCTCAATATCTTCTTCTTCTTCTTATATTCATTGGATATTTTTGACTCATATTGATACCTTAAAGCTTCCCTGTCATTTGTGGGATTCATTTAAATACATTTTGTATAATGTAAACTAATATCACACTACAGTGAACAGGTGATGATGATGATGATACAAAAAAAGAAATATGCAGAAGAAATTTGTAAATTAACAGATTCCTGTGGCATTCATGTACAATTATTTTGCTATGGCACACAGCCACTTGTGGAAAAATATTCTGCAAATTCGTCTCGAATCTCTTGTGCGTTGACTGCTGATTTTTTGGCCCCTTTGTTTAAAGGTAAGAAAGAAGTGAATTCTCCAGCTTCTTTCCTCCAGCCCCCTCCAATTACTTCACCATCATTTTCCATATCAAATGTTCCTGGAGGGTTGTATATGTTTCGTGATGTGTCACGTTTTTGCAGAAAATTGTGCAAAATTACACATGAAAGAATCACTAGTTTAGCCTTTTCTGGTTGTAAAAGAAGTGGTTTCCTTAACACTTGAAATACAGCTGATAAGATTCCAAATGCATTTTCAACTGTCCTATAGGCTCTACTTAATTGATAGTTGAATATTCTCTTCTTCGAATCTACCTCTTTATTCCTGGGGTATGGTTTTATTATATGATTCTGCTGTGGAAATGTGTCGTCAGCAATGAAAACAAATGGGACTGGTTTAATTCGGCCATGAAGTGCGTTGTCTGTTGGCAAATGCAGGTTACCCGCACACAATTCAGAGAAAAATTTAGCATTTTTTAATACGTTTCCATCCGAAATTCGTCCCTGACAACCAACGTCAACATATATAAAGGAATACGATGCATCAACCACAGCAAGAAGCACAATGCTGTATTGTCCTTCATAGTTGACATATTCAGTACCACCCTTTATTGGTGCTTGTAACACCACATGTTTTCCATCAATAGCACCAAGACAATGTGGAAAATTCCATCTTTCATTGAATGATTGAGCAATCTTGCACCACAATTCGGGGGAATGGGGAATCTGAAATGAAACACAAAATTACTATGAAATTACTGTGCATAATAAAATATACAATTAGATGTATTCTAGTTTTACTACTGATGTTACAGCGTGGTTTCTGCATTACTTTATTTAATAATGAAGAGTATAAGCTTTTATTTATGTTATTTAAGGTCAGGAGCAATCCATATGCTAACAAACTGTTGTTATGCAGAAAAATTTGACACTGCATAATTTTGTTTCAGGATGCAGACATATTCAGAGGCAAGGTGTGATACAAACAAGCAGAGATTATGACAAAGGAAAATGAAAAATGTTTGTGCCTACAATCCAAACATTGAAGGGAAGTTACATAACTGACAATAGATTACAAGACAAATATGATATTTTTGAACAGAACAGAATTAGTTTACATTCCATAGAGCCTTCATAAGCCCAAGCCAAAGATGTAGAACATGTCACAGCACAAAAACAATATTTGTTTCTAATACAGATATAAATTGCATAGTTACAACAGTAGTTTGTAGTCAGTTACAGTAGTGTTATCATAAACTTCTTTACATTGTGGTACAGACTTAGTGGGGGAAAGATTACTGAGTAACTTAAATCAATTATGGTAAACTTCTTTTAGATATTTACTGAGTTTAGTGTTTGGCATATGATGCTCATATCTGTATCCTGTCCTTATATTGTGGATATCTGAGTTTGTTTGAAATTTTTCTATATTGTCGACTACAGATTATAATATGGAGAGTAAGAACTCACTAGCTAGTGGAAGAAAATTAAATTTCTTAAACAATTCCTTACATGAGGGTCTCCTTTTAATGCCTGCCATTGTTCTGATGATTTTCTTTTGAATGTAAAACCTTTTTTTGCTGTGTGTTGAGTTTTCCCCGAAAACAATTCCATATTACATGATAAAATGGAAGTAAGCAAAGATGACAAATTTTAAAGTTTGTTCTCATGAGATCTGGCAGTCTTTATAGCAAAGCATGCTGAGCTTCATTTAGGAATAATGTGTTGAGAATTTTTTTCAATTCAAGTTACTGTATTGGTAGGCCAAGAAATGTTGTTTCTACTTCTTCAGTTGTTTTTTTCCTCATACCCTATATCTAAACACAATTTTTGCTGGTAGTACGAAGTTTTTAAATTTTCGTCAAAATTTAATGTGAGTTTATTTGTTTTAATCCATCTATTCAGGCTAAGAAGGGCATTCATGCCAATTTGGAAAGTCAATTTCTAGATTTCCCAGGGATAAAATACAGCCAGGGAGAGACACTGACCCTACCTAGTGTCGAGGTTAAGAATGAGTAGGAGCTATTCCCCCCCCCCGGCCATAACATTTTATACCGGGACAGCTTTACTTTTCTTCACAATTTCTGGATGTGAAATATTAGTATCGTCCTCAAAAAGTATGGGGTTATAGGCGGTAAATCATCGATACATTTGAGGAAAGTGAGGTATATACTATATACAACCAACAGCTGTCAAACACCTAGGTATTAATACATGTACTGAAGTGGATGTATTTATGCAGCACGCGGCAGAGAATAACATTCCACGGACTGTACCCTACTGTAAGCAGTCATACCAACCCAATTATGATGGCCCTTCGTTGGCGTATACCTACTGTCTCATTCTACATTACCAAGGCCGTCGGTAATCAAACGGTCAGCCAGCACTATAACGTTAATTATAAAAATTAAATAATTTACTATGCGTTTCTTGCCTTAATGTATTCTTGAAGTTCTGTAATGAGAGCTGTACACACTTCCGGTACGATGGCAGATATCAGCTGTTTAGAAACTTTAAAAAGATACATCAGACTAGTGTAGGAATCCCCAGTTGCTAGGAATCGTAAAGTGATGGCTAACCTATCACGTACAGGAACAGCACTTCTACAGTTGGTATCACGTTTGCTTATTTTGGGCCCAATGACTGTCAGCAAATATTCAAAATCGGCAGCTGACATTCTACAAAAATTTTTAAAACCACTTGAATCTTCCATTCTGAAATCTGTCAACAAATTAGTCCCACTATACA